ATTTTTAGTAAATTTAATTGTAATTCGTTTGTAGTTAATTGTATATTTCGTCAAATAATAGACTCCAACATCGGTTATACACTCTCCAGTGACGTCCATCTGAGTGATGATTGAGCCAAACTTAGTGAACACCCAATCGGCCCAAATCGGGTCCAACTTTTGGTTATTGAATTGAATTTCCCGTAATTTCGGAGAAATAGTCTTCAATTCAGACATAAAACTAAACACATCTCTAGTCTTGTTTATCTCGAGTCCTGTTATATCAATACTTTGAATGTTTGGACATTTTTTAAACAGTGAAGTCATAAAGAGTTTTCCGTTGAGTTTTACACAAAACATCTCGTATTTCGCGGTTTCGGTGGCAATCATTTTGCTCAACATTTGGTCGTCGATAACGATTTCATCGATGGTCTCGTATATCAAACGCTGCCATTGTTTGGACACTCCTTCGAATCGAAACCGATCCTCAAATTTCATAGACGACAGCAATAGTTGGCACAAATCGTCTCCATATCTATCCATTGAGTCCTTTGCGTATACTTTGGGCTATAATTAACGGAAATATTACTTAGAAATGAATTTAATGTTTAATATTACTTCAAATTACCTGTGGATTGCTTTCAATGACATTCTTGTGGATGACTTCATTCCTCCTCTGCCTTCTTTGTCCGCACATATATCGGAAACATTCACACAAACGGGACATTACTTTGTGATGAAATGCCTTTGATTTGTGTATTTGATTGATAACTAAATTTTCTAATAGTTTAACGGTTTTTATTAATGTAATGAATTCTTAATGAATGTTTAATTGTTTTGCAATTATTTCAGTTAAACAATAATTTCACGCAAAATTATGTATAATTTCTTTGTTTATATTTAATTTTTAATATTTAAAACGAATTTAATTTTAAAACTATATTCAATATAATTTATATTACAGTTATATAAACTATAAGTTTTATAAAGTAACAATTCTAATTATTAATTTTAAACGTATGGCAACTAAGTACAAGTGTTAACACTGGATGTGATAAAACAAGACCGGAGACCAGAGTTTTTCCCCACTTTCTTGAGATTTATAAATAATTTCCGGAATTTTTTGGATTCTGATATATTGTATATCTGGTAAACATTATTTTGATGCGTGAAACAAATTGGTATTTAACTTAACATTTATTGCAGTTAATACCTGTATTGCTGTTCAACGTTAACCAACCAAACCTTATACACAAAGATATAGTGAAGTATTCAATCAATAAATTTATAGTAAGTTTAATTTTATTAATCTGTAATTAATTGTGTAATTTGTTAAATAATAGACTCCAACATCGGTTATACATGTATTTACTTCAATGCTATTTAAGCATTAAATGCGGCTCAGAATCGGAGGCAAAGACAAGATTAGCGCTGATATTGAATTCATTACAAGATTTAAACAAATTGTTTGCATTTCAAGTCGAGTACCGGAAGAAAGAGAACCCAAAATACGCGGAACCTCTGTTTAGAGAGTATTTTGATATCACATCCAATCATAACAATTACTAAATTATAATTAATAGATATTAAAACTGTTAAATCTATACTTTTTTTAAACAATAATTGAAATAATTTAATAGCATTAAATATATTCAACCTAAACAATAAACTTGTTTTATTTAATAAAATGCTAGAATTTTAATACTATTTTTCTTTATTTTAATTTTAAACGAATTTAATATAATTACAAATAATTTACTATTAGTTTGAGATTTTATTAATAAATATTACTATAGATTTCCAATTAAAACAAATAGCTGTCATGATTTGAATAAAATCAGACTTTAGTTTAGTATAAGTTTTATGTCTAACAAACATTACAAACACAATAGTATTCAAACATGTTTTATGGTTGGCTTTAGGCCTGAGTTTGGGACACAACCGCTCGTAAAGGGTGGGGAATGGGATGTCCGACACATACCATACCATACATATAGACAGTAAGCACCGGACAATCGGTGGCACTCTTCTCTCGGCAGTCATTCACTAAACATGTATTCATTTTACTTTACATTTGATTTTGTATTACTTTTAAGACATTTGAATAAACGTTTATTTTAAGCCCAAAACGAACCCATCATTTGAGCCATTCATTTGACTCACAAATAACTTAATTAATATTTTGTGATTAATAAAATAGAAATAGTTATCTATAAGTTATTGTCAGATCAAACCACTCGGGTCTGACATAGCAATAAAAACTATTATAAAAAGTGGAATTAAAAAGCTATTTGTCTTCAAAAGTATTGCAATAATCTCTAATAAATTTAAAGATTTAAATAAATAATTTAAAAACTATCATATTATTTGAAATAAATTTTGTCAACACTTTTGTTAAATTCATTTTTTTTGACAAATTAATACAAATATTTGTAAATGCTTTTTCCGTTACTATTTGTGATCTGAATTACTTTCAAATGATGGCATTTCCTTATTATTGTCTCCAAACCTGATGTCATATATCGTAGGTTTTCGGTCGTATGTGTTATCCACAGTGTCTTGAGGTGTGAAAGTGTAGCCAATCTCTCCAACCATAAGCTGTTTATACGTCCCTTTGTATCACATATTGACAGTTGTTGTAGTTTTGGTAGATTTGTCTCAATTTGTTGAAACAATTGGTAATTAAAATCGCATGAATAGAGTTGTAAACGAGTTAATTGTGGCCATCCTTTCATCAATTCAAACATACCCTCGCTTTCAGTGATAGGAAACGAATGCAAACCAAAACAAAACCACTTTAAATGTGGCATAAATTGAATGCTTTTGAGTATTTCAGTCTTGTATTCGCTGTTATGAATGCAATTGAATACAAATGTCTTTAATTGTCCGCACATTTGGCCGATTGTCTTAAGAGATTCGTATAGAGAGTACTCCAGAGAATGAATTGGATTGATATGAATACTAAGCATTTTGAGTTTTGATAACCGAGACAATTGAGCCATCATTTTGCGGACATCATGTGTGGATTCAATGATGCCTTCGATGATTATGGTTACGCTTTGAAGAGACATATTATGATCAATGAATGTCAAAAGCCTTTCTTCCGAAATCGATATCTCAAAACCTGTGCCCAATATCTTGAGATTCTTCACCAATAACTGGCCGTTCGGTGAAAACATTTTACTCATATAACAACTAATTTGTGTCAATTTTGGGCACTCATTGATATACTTGATGTGATCGCAGTCTCCAGTGATGAACATCCGAGTGATGATTGAGCCAAACTTTGTGAACACCCAATCGGCCCAAATCGGGTCCAACTCTTGGTTTTTGAATTGAATTTCCCGTAATTTTAGAGAAAAACTCTTCAATTTAAACATAAAACTAAACACATCTCTAGTCTTGTTTATCTCGAGTCCTGTTATATCAATACTTTGAATGTTTGGACATTTTTTAAATACTGAAGTCATAATGAGTTTTCCGTTTGGTTTCACACAATATATCTCTAATTTTGCTCTTTCGGTGGCAATCATTTTGCTCACCATTTGGTCGTCGATAACGATCTCATTGATGGTCTCGTATATCAATCGCTGCCACTGTTTGGACACTCCTTCAAAGCGGAACCGATCCTCAAATTTCATATACGACAGCAATAATTGGCACAAATTGTCTCCATATCTATCCATTGATTCCTTTGCGTATACTTTAGGCTATAATTAACCGAAATATTATTTAGAAATGAATTTAATGTTTAATATTACTTCTAATTACCTGTGGATTGCTTTCAATGGCATTCTTGTGGATGACTTCATTCCTCCTCTGCCTTCTTTGTCCGCACATATATCTGAAACATTCACACAAACGGGACATCACTTTGAGATGAAATATCTTTTATTTGTGTATTTGATTGAAAACTAAATTTTCTAATAGTTTAGCGGTTTTTATTAATGTAATGAATTTTGTAGTAATTAAACTAATTAAACAATTTAAACACAAGTTGAATTTATTGTGTTAATAGCTTTACAATTATTTCAGTTAAAAAATAATTTCGCGCAAATATATGTATAATTTCTTTGTTTTCATTTAATTTTAAAATTATATTCAATATTAACAATAAGTTTTATAAATCAACAAATTAACAAGTAACAATTAACAAATTTAATTGATCCAATCCTTCACCACTATATTAATTACATAATGATAACACTTCCCAATACAAGCCCTTTAATCGCATTCATTGATACAATAAAATAAAACACATTTTAATTTTGATTTAGACTTTATTTTATTGAAAAGATTTTATAATGAGTTTAAACGTGAATGAAAACGAAGAAAATCGGATAATATGTCTTATTTCTTCATTTTTTATATGAAGTATGGATTTAAATGATAGTTAAAAAGAGGACACATCTGTCGGGTAGGGATGGCGTCCATCGGTTCCGTTGTTGAGTGTCTTAACGGCATTTTGACCGTTTGGAAGAACCCTTGGCCGCGGCTTTGCGTTTGGGCGCCGCTTTACGGGGGACTCCTCTGCGCGATGTGTTATCACTCTTGCAGTTAATGCCTGTATTGCTGTTTAACGCTAACCAACCAAACCTTATACATAGAGATATAGTGAAGTATTTAATCAATAAATTTTATAGTAAATTGAATTGTAATTAATTGTGTAATTTGTTAAATAATAGACTCCAACATCGGTTATACGTGTATTTACTTCGACGCTATTTAAGCATAAAATGCGGCTCAGAATCGGAGGCAAAGACAAGATTTAGCGCTGATATTGAATGCATTACAAGATTTAAACAAATTGTTTGCATTTCAAGTCGAGTACCGAAAGAAAGAGAACCCAAAATACGCGGGACTTCTACTCAGGGAGTACTTTGATATCACATCCAATCATAACAATTACTAAATTTACATTATACAATTAGTAAATCTAGGTTATGTGATTGTTTGCACATATTTAATTACAATTGTTAAATTTTATAATCAAATGCCAATTTAACCAATGGTTAAATTTAATGGATGGTTAATCAACTATAGTTCAACTAATAATCAACTATTCATTTTTGAATTCTATTGAGAGAGAGAGAGAGAGAGAGAGAGAGAGATCCAGAATATCGCGAACGCCTCCCAAAGTGTCTATCGATTGATTTCTTGTAGACATTGTAGTCGTTATTGTGCTGATTGTGGTCGACGTGTCAGTTATTGGATCCCATCGCCGACTAATACCCGGATAGAGAGTTTATTAAGCATATAATTATGTTTTAAACCTGTTTTTTAAATTGCTAACTATGATGAAAACTTTCACTAATAGGTTACATTTGGCATTTACAAATAGATGTTGTGTAATACTATTTTACCATATAATAATATTCATATAAAATAATTTAGTGCTGATTGACAATCAATAATTGTAATGTTTCATGCCTGTTTATAAAATTAAATATTTAATAAATAGCATGTATAAATATATTAATTACATTGTGTAAACAATTGAATAAAAGATCTAAATTATTATGAATAGATTCTAATGTACACTGTAAATAACCTTGATTAAAGAGATCAGTTTAATGCGCTGTCTCTTGTGAGCGAGAGTGATTTAATTAGATATAGTGGTAACCCATAGCAATAATATTGCATAGTTTGATTATATTTGTACATTAAGTTAACAACAATAATATTCCATTATATTTTAATTTTCATAATTGTATCAACTAAATTGTAAATCATGAAATGACCATGTTCATCATACAGTATAATAGTTCAAATTAATATAATATAATGTTTGCTAAAAATCCTTTAAGTAAAGACAAAATATGTCTGATTTGCGGCGACGGAGCCATTGGTATGTAATTCACTGCTTAACTCATTTAGTTATTAATTTAGACATTATTTTAAAACATTGAATAATTATGTAATTTTATTTTTCCACTTTAAGTTATTTATGTGTTCATATTTATTAATAATTATATTTTATTGCTGTCGTAAAAATTATCATTATTAACCAAGTTCTAAATTTACAATCAAAATCATATTTTTAATTTTTGTGTTAAATTATTTGCAGTAATTTTCTATAAAATATAATTTAGCAAAAGTTATAAATTATAAATAAGGATATAATTAATTGTTGTAAATGTTATAAATAGCAATACTTGTATCCGTAATAATACAATACAAGGAAATAATAGTTATAAAAGTTTTAAATGTTGAACAAATATGACATATTTATTATTACAAATTAGTGTGACCATGGTCATTGATGACATTTTAAAAATGTAATTTTAGGCAAAAACTTCGGGTCCGTGTCGTGTGAGTCATGTAAGGCATTCTTTCGAAGAAACGCCGCAAAACGTGAGGTAATTGTGTCCGAAATTAATTTCAATTATAGTTTATAACTAATTATATTTTCTATACACAGGAATACGTCTGTCTTTATATCAAAAAATGTAAAATTGGTTTAAATACACGAAAATTTTGCCGAACCTGTCGTTTGGAAAAGTGTTTCGATGTGGGAATGAAAGAGGTTTCTTGGGATCAACTAATTTCTTAGACAAGTAATATTAAAAACTAATTATATTTAACGCTAGGATTGGATACTAAATGACGAGCAAAGAGAGGAAAGGCGTCTCAAAATAGAAGCCAAACGACTGAAGAGGAATAAAAATGCCGACAAATGCGAAGACAAACTCGAGACCAAACATATGTCTAATGAATCCGCCGATGAAAACAATAATCTGAAGATTGATGTCTTGAATACCGAAATCAATGACTGGACAACTGGTCCGCAGAGTATGGATCACGAAGTCTTAGCGACCGATACGAGTAACTCAATTGATAGCTTAGGCTCAGGGTATGAATCGGCACTCATTCCAGTGGTCAGACCCGTACTTGTGATCAACAATAACTTCAACGCTTCGGAACACCAATTCTTCAGCGAACTATTGTCGGCCATCAGTCAACTGCATCTGAATGTGGATCCCGTGGCCATCCATGAGCTCAAGACTTTTGAAGAGTACAGACATTCAATGTTGCCGAAGATGGAGAGCGACTTCAAAGTGATGGTAAACGTGTGCAAGAGTTTGCACACATTCCGGTCCGTCTGCGACAGCGACCGAATGGCACTCTTCAAGCCGGGAACCCGTGAGGCGCTAATGTTGCACGCGTTCGGCCATTTCTATGATCATGGTAACCAATGTTGGAATATAAACATGGTATGAATGATAGTGATGATGGATAGTGGTTTATAAGATGGTAAACAGTATTGTAATTAAATTTTTAATACCTTTAGGACGATGGCACAGTATATGTGCTTAAACTGGATGTATTGAAACAAATGCCAGGCAACACTTATTCGGTGGCCAAACGCTTATTGTATAATATTGCACACATCATGGACTCCGATCATTATATCATTCAATTGGTAGTAAATCTAACAATTAATGATGATCTTATTGAATCATTAATAATGGTTAATAATTAACACTTAATTATTTAACTAAACATATAATTACAGTTAATACCGATCCTACTCTTCAATCCCGAGCGACCAAACCTCACGCATAAAGACTTAGTAAAGTAAATAACTTATTAATAATAATAACTTATTATCCATTATATTAATATCAATTGCAATTAACTAATTGTCTCATAGACTTCAACAGCGATTGTATATGTATTTA